AGGCAATGGCCTAGTGGTATTATCACTGGACTGTTAATCCAGAGATCTGGATAACATTATGGGAACTGGGTTTGAATCCCGTCTTGGCAGATGATGGAATTTGAATTCAATAAATATCTGAAATTAAGAATCTAATGATGACTGTGAACCCATTGTCGATTGTCAGGAAAAACCCATCTTGTTCACTAATGACCTTCAGGGAAGGAAACTGCCATCCTTACCTGGTCTGGCCTACATGTGACTCCAGACCCACAGCAATGTGGTTGACTCTTAACTGCTCTCTGGGCAATTAGGGAGGGGAAATAAACGCTGCCTAGCCAGTGATGCCCCTTATCCCATGAAGGAATAAAAGTAAAGAATTCAATCATATTCCCCTCTTAGCTGATCCTCAATGCACTATCTTTGAAAATGTTCATTCTTTACAGATTTCTCAGTGGCCTTGCTCCCTAATTCAGGAAGGCTTTACTAGTAGGTCGATGTCCTTGTGTTTTCCTACTCTACACAATGTCCTCTGCCTTCACCATAAGACCATAGACATAGGAGCAGAAATTAGGCCATTCGGTCCATCGAGTCTGCTCTGCCATTCAATCATGGCTGATGAGTTCCTCAACCCCATTCTCCTGCTTTCTCCCCGTAACCCTTGATCCCCTTGATAATCAAGAACCTATCTCTGTCAGTCTTAAACGTACTCAATGACCTGGCCTCCACAGCCTTCTGTGGCAGTGAATTCCATAGATTCACCGCTCTCTGGCTGAAGACGTTTCTCCTTATCTCCATTCTAAAAGGCCTTCCCTTTACTCTAAGGCTGTGCCCTTGAGTTCGAGACTCTCCTACCAATGGAAGCATCTTCCCAACATCCACTTTGTCCAGGCCATTCAGTATTCTGAAAGTTTCAATTAGATTTCCCCTCATCCTTCTAAACTCCAATGAGCATAGTCCCAGAGTCCTCAAACGTTCCTCATATGTTAGGCTTTCCATTCCTGGGACCATTCTCCTGAACCTTCTCTGAACCCACTCCGGGGCCAGTACATCCTTCCTGAGATATGGAGCCCAAAACTGCACACAATACTCCAAATGTGGCCTGACCAGAGCCTTATAAAAGCTCAGAAGTACATCTCTGCTTTTATACTCAAGTCCTCTCAAAATAAATGCCAACATTGCATTTGCCTTCCTGACTACTGACTCAACCTGCAAGTTTACTTTGAGAGAATCCTGCACTAGAACTCCCGAGTCTCTTTGCACTTCAGACTGAATTTTCTTCCCATTTAGAAAATAGTCCATGCTTTTATTCTTCTTACCAAAGTGCATGACCTCACACTTTCCCACATTGTACTCCATCTGCCATTTCTTTGCCCACACTCCTGACCTGTCCAAATCCTTCTGCAGCCTCACCACCTCCTCAATACTACCTGTCCCTCCACCTATCTTTGTGTCGTCTGCAAACTTAGCCAGAATGCCCTCAGTTCCTTCATCTAGATCATTAATGTACAAAGTGAAAAGTTGTGGTCCCAACACTGACCCTTGTGGAACACCACTTGTCACCGGCTGCCATCCTGAGAAAGACCCCTTTATCCTCACTCTCTGCTTTCTGCCAGACATCCAATCTTCTATCCATGCTAGCACCTTGCCTCTAATACCGTGGGCCCTTATCTTACTCAGCAGCCTCCTGTGTGGCACTTTATCAAAGGCCTTCTTGAAGTCCAGGTAGATAACATCCATTGGCTCTCCTTGGTCTACCCTGCTCGTTACTTCCTCAAAGAATTCTAGCAGATTTGTCAGGCATGACCTGCCCTTGATGAAACCACACTGACTTTGCCCTATTTTACTAAACACTTCCAAATATTCAGAAATTTCATCCTTTACAATGGACTCCAAAATCTTACCCACGACCGAGGTTAGGCTAATTGGCTAATTCACCTCACCATCACCCACCCTGGCCTCTCAATCTGGAATGTTCCCCAACATATCTTGGTCTTGCTGTCTTTTTCTCTCTTTTCTACCTTAAAGACACCCCACAAGAGCAACCACTGTGATCACCAACACCTCTCCCTGTTAGTGTTCACTGCCTTTCTTATTAAAAAAATTTTTTCACTCATGGGACGCGGACATCGCTGGCTAACCAGCATTTATTGCCCCCATCCCTAGTTGCCCCTTGAGAAGGTGAGGGTGAGCTGCCTTCTTGAACCGCTGCAGTCCATGTGCTGTAAATTGACACACAATGCCTTTAGGGCGGGAATTTCTTCACCTCCACAAATCTTTAGGTTGTCTCCTAGCTCACACCCTATAAAAGCAAGGTGTGTATGTGTGCGTTTGTGAGCAAGAGAGAGAGCAAAAGAATACTCTGCATCATTACTGCATGCAGTCCTCACCTTCACTGTTTGTTCCCACCGTACTTTCTCTGCAGCTAGACCAGATAGCAGCTTATCAGCACGATCCAGTTTGATCTCCATCTCCTCGGATCTTTTCCGCAGTTCTTCTTTTTGAGCCAGCTTTTCATCATATTGTCTCTTCAGCGTATCCAGCTTCTCAGCCACCTGGTATTGGAAATGGTAAAGCACATTGAAAATTACCTCTGGGTCCCAGCACCTACCATAACCAAGACTTGTATGTGTGCACATTTTACAATGTGCTACACTTGAAGGAGCTGCAGTACAGAAGAGACAATCCCAACACACCCACTCAGTCCTAAAGTCCTCTTTTCTCTATCTCTCACACATCTTTCACAAATATCTTTCCTGTTCCCTTTTGAATTTGGTGGTACTTCTTCCACTGTCATCTCAAGCTCTGTCTGCTGCTATTTCTAGTACCTGTAAGAGTAATAGAGTCATAACTGTCTTTAGCACAGAACAAGGCTTTTCAGTGCATTGAGTCTGCACCAGCCAAAATCAAGCACTAGTTATTTTAATCCCATTTTCCAGCACTTGGCCCATAGCCTTGTATGCTTTGGCATTGCAAGTGCACATCTAAATCCTTCTTAAAGGTTATGAGAGTTTCTGCCTTACAGGAAGTGATTCCCAGATTCCTAGCACCCTCTGGGGAAAAACATTTTCCTAATATCTCCCAAAATCTCCTGTCCCTCCCTTAGATTTATGTCCACTGATCATTGATGTGTCCAGCAAGGGGAAAAGTTCCTTCCTGTCTACCCAGTCTATTCCTCTCATAATTTTATACATCTCAATCATGTTTCCCCTCAGTCTCCTCTGCTACAAGGAAAACAACCCCAGTCTATTCAATATCTCTGCATAACTAAAACTCTGCAATCCAGGTAACATCCTGGGAAATATGCATTATACCATTTCTTGTGCTATCACATCCCTTCTGTAATGTGGATTTCGGAACTGTAACAGTACTCCAGCAGTGGCCAAACCTACTTTTTATACAGTTCCAGCATCACCTCCCTGCTCCTAAACTCCATGCCTTGACTATTATAGGCAAGTATTCCAAATGCCCTCTTAACCACTTTATCTACTCATCCCACTACCTTAGGGGAACAGTGGACATGCACACCAAGGTCCCTCTAACGCTCCCCAGAATCCTACTGTACATCATGTATTCCATTGCCTTGTTGTCCTGCCCAAGTGCATCACCTCACACTCATCTGGATTTAATTCCACTTGTCACACAGCTCGTTTATGTCCTCCTGTAATTTAAGGCTGTTCTCGAAGCTACTTACCACTGTACTAATTTTTGTATCATCTGTGAACTTACTGATGAATCCTCCTACATTCAAGTCTATTATTTATATATACTGCAAATAGCAAGGGCCCTGATGCTGATCGCTGTCCATTTTACAGCTTTTGGATGAGTTCTAAATATATCTAGAGACAGTAGTTTTTGCAGGGAATCTGCTTTCTAAACCCAGAAGAAAGCGGGTAGGGTTAAATGCTCAGGCAGAGACTGCTTGGATGGTCAGACAAAGTATCACGCACTTACAACTCATTCACAGCTCCCCACTGTTTTCATCAAGCCAATGTGCACGTTAGCAATAGGTAAAGGCCACTAATGAGCCTGCCTCCTCATTAGAGATTAATCACAGTTCCTCAACACATCACTCAGTCCCTTCAGAGAGCTGACTTCAGCCAATTAATAACATTCCTGCAAATAATCATCTCTGGCAACGAAATCCACGTCTCCATCAGTCTTTTGATAGGAATGTTTGGTCATTTACTCAAGACAATTTTTAACATGCATCCTCTGGTAGCAGACTTTTGCCTGGTGAAAATTTGACAACGCATATTTTGTAATTACAAATGACACAATCAGGTCACCTTGAAGCCTCCTTACTTTTCACCGACTGAAGTGCTGCCCCTAGGCCTCTGCCTGCAATTGTCCTTTGGCCAGCAGTTGCAAAGGCATATGAGTATCTGAGTGTGACATGTTGTGACAATTTCACTGCCTTCATTTGTAGTGGAACATCAGCCCACCATGCATTGGCATCACTGAGGCTGAGACTGGAAAACTACCAGGTCAATAATTTGGAATCATGAAGAACATTCCAAGCAATTGGGCTTGTTCTCCTTGGAGTAGAGATCTTAAGTGGAGATTTAATTGATTTGTTCAAAATCACAAATGTTTTGACAGAGTGGATAAGGGGAAACAGCAGTAGGAATGTCAGTAACCAGAAGGACACAGATTTAAGGCAAAAGAACCAGAAGTGGAGATGATTGATACCCGGCCACCACTTTAAACATTCATGCCCTCCACCACCAACACTCAGTAGAAACAGTGTGTACCATCAACAAGATGCACTATAGCAATGCACCAAGGCTTCTTAAACCTTCCACACCCACTACCACTATTGTCTGGGACAAGGGCAGCAGATACATGGAAACATCACCACCAGCAAGTTCCCCTCCAAGCCACACACTATCGTGAGTTATCACTCTTTCATTCTTTCCAGATCAAAATCCTAGAACTCCCTGACAACACTGTACCTGCACCCAATAGAGAGCAGCAGTTCACGAAGGCAAGAAATTAGGTATGGGCAACAATGCTGGTGAAGCCCATATCCCACGAAAATTTTTTTTAAAATTATTTGACATCAAATGACGATTTGGAATGTATTGGCTGTGGAAGCAGATTTACTAGTAATCCATGAGGCAAAGTGAATTAATTCTTGAAAAGCCTGGGGAAAGCGGAGCTGGAATAAGGAAGCTCTCTCAAAGGTTGGTGTAATGTTCTGTGATTCTATGAATGACATTGTTGACAAGTGGGCACAATGGCACTTTAACGCGATCTCTTGACTGAATATTCACAGTTTGATGGGAAAGATGAGAAAAAAAAAATTCAGGGAAACAAACTGCAATGTGAGTGGCCCAAGGCTGGCATTGAGATGAGGGTCAGAGGAGTTTTTTTGTATTCCTTGCAGTGAGCTGTGAAGGAGAGCTGGAGGATAAATAGTAACAGGGTAGCAGGACATTACTACAAGGCAGCATGTACCTCTCTTAACTTAGCCTGTGCGTCAGCGAGCAACGCCTGCTTCTCTGCAAGCTGTGCCATAGCGTCCCGCAGCCGAATTCGCTTGGGTTCCACCACACGATACAATCTGCCATACAGCTGTAGGCAAATACATAGAGAAAGAGCAAGTTAGGCAAATAACTCACTGTGCTCCCTGTGAGGAAACTCATGGAAACTGCTTTTAAAGAACTTTTATAGCCTATTTCCCATGTGCATTGCGTCCTAGACTTACAGACCCTATGCCACAGCCCAATATTTCTGATAAACCCAAGGATTTTGTTTTCTCTATTTTTTCAAGGTACATGGGCATTGCTAGCAGTACTTGTCCATTCTTAATTGTCTTCGAACCGAGAGCCATTTCAGAGAGCGGTTAAGAATCAATCATGTTGTTGTGGGTCTGCAGTGACAAGTAGGACAGGCTGGGTAAGGAAGGTAGGTTTCCTTCCCTAAAGGACACAAGTGAATCAAATGGGTTTTTATGGTTAGAATTAGAATTGATAGCTCTGTAGTCACCATCACTGAGACAAGCTTTTAATTCCAGGTTTATCAATGAATTTATATTCCACTGGAGCATTAGCCTGGGCTGCTGAATTATTAGTCAAGTGATATTTTTTAAATTTGTTCATGTGATGTGGGTGTCACTGGCCAGGCCAGCATTTACTGCCCATCCCTAATTGCCCAGGGGATAGTTTAGAGATAACCACATTGCTGTGGGTCTGGAGTCACATGTAGGCCAGACCAGGTAAGGATGGCAGTTTCCTTCCCTAAAGGGCATTAGTGAACCAGATGGGGTTTTCCTGACAATGAACAATAGATTCATGGTAATCATCAGACTCTCAATTCCAGGGCTTTTTATTGGATACAATTTCCACCATCTGCCGTGATAGGATTCGAACCTGCGTTCCCAGAACATAACCTGGGTCTCTGGGTTAATAGTGCAGTAATAACACCACTCCCAATTAGGTCATCAGCTCCCCTTGTGATATTACCACCACGCTATCGTCTCTTCTATTCACAAAACCATCATATTCTCACAGACATGAAAAAGAGGGGCATCCAAGCATTTCTTATGTAAAATGCATTTTATTTTATCCATTTGGGTTGATAATTCCTTAGCAGTTTGGTTAAATGGTTGGGGAACAATGAGAAAGCACATTTCTAAAAGTGAAGCAGGGAATCAGAGTCAATTACTGAGAACTTGACAGAGGGGAAAAAAAACAGCAAGGGATTAAGAAAGGGGCAAGTAATGGAGATGAAATGCTTAGTAACTAGAGAATATAGAAAAAGGGTGAAAGACGGAGAGCAGTGGGAGGGGATAATTGAAACAACCCTTACCTCCATGGCCAGAACCCACATACAAAGAGATTTGGCCGCTACAGACACACGACCGACAATTTCTGGCTGGAAGTCTGGTTGTGCACAGTATGTCCCAATTTTCTTCAGCACCTTGTCAGAAATATTGTCTTTGTCGAAATTAATGAGCTGCTTAATGAAGGTTCCCTCACCTGAATAACACAAGTTTCACCTCATCAAGATGCAGTCAAACATCCCTCATCACATCAAAAACAAACAGGGATCAGGCTCATGTTTTGAGTATTGGTTATAGCAGATTCAGCATGGCTTCTCGAAAGTGAAATCATGTCTGATTTATTTACCTGTATTAGAATTTTTTGAGGAAGTCTCAACTGAATGGATAGAAAGTAGATGTGTTGTATTTGGACTTCCAGAAGGTACCTCACAAAAGATTAAGTCATAAGAGAAGGGCCTACAGTGTTGGAGATAGTATATTGGCATGGATAGAGAATTGGCTCATGGGCAGAAAACAGCGAATGGGGATAAGAGATTCTTTTCAGGTTGGCAACCTGTGACCAAGGGGTTCCTGACAGGGTCAGAGCTGAGACTACAACTGTTTACAATACAATATTAATGACTCAGAGGAAGGAAGTAAATGTACTGTAACCCAATTTACAGAGAACACAAAAATAGGTGGACAGGCAGTTTGTGAGAGGGATACAAATAATTTACAGGAAGTTTTGATTGGTTAAGTAAGTGGGCAAATTGTTGGCAAATGGAGTATAATGAGGGAAAATGTGAAGTTGTTCATTTTGGAAGTGAGAACAAAAGCACACAGTATTATTTAAATGAAGAGAAACTGTGGAAAAATGCACCACAAAGGGTCTTTGGGGGACTTGTGCATGAAATGCAGAAAGCTAATACACAGAGGCAGCAGGTAATCAGGAAGGGCCATGGAACATTGGGGTTTATTTCAAGGGGCTTGGAGCATAAGAGCAGGGAAGTCTTACTGCATTTGTACATGGTGCTGGTGAGACCACATCTGGAGTACTGAGAGCAGTTTTGGTCCATTTATTTAAGGAAAGATACCTATTCATTAGAAGCAGTTCAGAGGTTCACTGGGATAATCCTTGCTATGGAGGGATTGTCTTATGAGCAAAGGTTAAACATGTTGCGAGTCTACTCAATCGAGTTTTGAAGAATGAGAGGTGATCTCAACGAAACACATTCGATGTTTAAGGGACATCAGAGGTGGGCAAGTTGTTGGAGAGACTCCAGAGGGACAGGATTTACATGTATCTGGAAAGGCAAGACCTGACTAGGGAAGTCAACATGGCTTTGTGCATGGACAATCGTGTCTCACGAACTTGATTAAGTTTTTTGAAGAGGTGACGAAGAGGATTGATGAGGGCAGAATAGCGGACGTGATCTATATGGACTTCAGTAAGGTGTTCGACAAGGTTCCTCATGGTAGACTGGTTAGCAAAGTTAGGGAGAACTGCCATTTGGAGACAGGACTGGCTCGAAGGTAGAAGACAGAGGGTGGTGGTGGAGGGTCGATTTTCAGACTGGAGGCCTGTGACCAGTGGTGGGCCACAAGGATTGATGCCGGGTCCACTGCCCTTTGTCATTTATATAAATGATGTGGATGTGAACATAGGAGGTACGGTTAGTAAATTTGCAGATGACACCAAAATTAGAAGTGTAGTGGACAGCAAAAAACGGTTACTTCAGAGTACAATGTGATCTTGATTAGATGGGTCAATGGGCTGAGAAGTGGCAGATGGAGTGTAATTTAAATAAATGTGAAGTACTGCATTTTGGTAAGGCAAGTTAGGGCAGGACTTATAGACTTAATGGTAAGGTCCTGGGAAGGGTTGCCGAACAAAGAGACGTTGGAATGCAGGTTCATAGTTCCTTGAAAGTGGAGTTGCAGGTAGACAGGATAGGGAAGAAGGTGTTTGGTACGCTTGCCTTCATTGATCAGTGCATTGAGTATAGGAGTTGGGAGGTCATGTTGCAACTGTACAGGACACTAGTTAGGCCACTTTTGGAATACTGCATTCAATTCTAGTCTCCCTGCTATATATAGGAAGGATGTTGTGAGACTTGAAAGTGTGCAGAAAAGATTTACAAGGATGTTGCCAAGGTTGGAGGGTTTGAGTATAGCGAGAGGTTGAATAGGCTGGGACTATTTTCCCTGGAGCGTTGGAGACTGAGGGCTGACCTTATAGAGGTTTATAAAATCATGAGGGGCATGAATAGGGTGAATAGACACGGTCTTTTCACCGGAGTGGGGGAGTCCAAAACTAGAGGGGCATAGGTTTAAGTTGAGAGGGGAAAGATTTAAAAGAGACCTTTTCTACGCAGAGGGTAGTGCATGTATGGAATGAGCTGCCAGACGGAGTGGTGGAGGCTGGTACAATTACAACATTTAAAAGGTACCTGGATGGGTACATGAATAGGAAGAGTTTAGACGGATACGGGCCAAATGCTGGCAAATGGAACTAGATTTATTTAGGATATTTGGTCAGCATGGACGAGTTGTACCGAAGGGTCTGTTTCCGTGCTGTACAGCCCTACGACTCTATGGCTTGACAGGGTAAATGCTGAGAGGATGTTTCCCCTCATGGGAGAGTCTAGGACCAGTGGGCATAGTTTCAGAATAAAGGGGTGTCAATTTAAGACTGGGAGGAATTCTTCTTTCAGAGAGTTGAGTGTCTTCGGAACTCTTTGCATAGAGAGCAGTTGTGGGTGGCGGGGAAGGGCAGAGTCCTTGTCTACATTTAAGGCTGATATAGATAGATTCTTGATCAATTGGGGAATCCATGGGTTACGGGGAAAGGCAGGACATGAGGCATGTTGGATCAGCTAGAGTGCATAGAGAGGGCTGTACATTGTGATCTGATATATAGAATCATAGAATCCCTGAGGGGAAAATTACCCTGTTGGTGTTTGGATTGATAAGCAAGAAAATTGTTAATTTGGTTCTTTTACAATGGAAGAACATAGGGCTTGGAAGCAGGTATAGGCCATTCGGCCTTTTGAGCCTGCTCCAGCATGCAATACCATCATGGCTGATCTGATGGTGGTCTCAGCTTCCCTTTCCTGCATGATCCTCCATACCCTTGACTCCCTCATTTATAAAAGTCCCATGTATCTCAGCCTTGAATGAACTTAAAGACACAACTTTCATTCACTTCTAGGGCAGAGAATTCCACACTTCTAACAATCCTCAGAGAAATGGTTTCTCCTTACCTCTGCCTTAAAAGGGTGACAACTTATTTTTAAAGTGCGTTCCCCTAGTTTTGCTTTGCTGATTATATTTATGGCAAAAAAAACTACACCTCAGATTAATCCACCCAGCTGCCTTACCCATTTGCAGCCATCCAGCATCAGAATAGGCCTCTTACCCAGCTGCTTCTTGGCCTCAGCCCAGGTTGGTTCTGAGCCTCGAAGGATCATGACTGCTTGCATCACCGTTTCAACAAGGACAGGCGGGCGGCCGTACGATTTGATTTCTGTCATGTCCTTTTTATTCAACGACTCCAGGGCCTGGAATCGTAAAGATTAAAACAGTACATTACCCCACGGCTGCCAACATTGTTAACTCAACACTCGGAAAGTGTACTGTTCCCAACTTGTGTGAGCTGGGTGGTAGACCTGCCTCAATAAATTGTGACAAAACATGAAAAATACTGACTAAATCTATGTTTATTGATAAAACACTGGATCTGGCCCCAGCTGGAGTACTGAGTTCAATTCTGGGCACCAGGATGTCAACGCTGTGGAGAGGGTTGGGGGAGATTTTCTAGAAGGGCATCAGTGGTGAGGAACTTCAGTGAATATGGAAAGAGTGGAGAAACTGGGATTATTCTCCTCAGAGCAGAGGTGAGGGAAGAGGGATTCAAAGTCACGTTGAATTCTGATAGAGTGAATCAGGAGAAACTATTCCCTGCGGCAGGAAGGGTGGTAACCAGAGGCCTCAGATTTTTTTTTATTAATTTGTGAGATGTGGGTGTCGCTGGCTGGCCAGCATTTATTGCTTCGTCCCTAGTTGCCCTTGAGAAGGTGGTGGTGAGCTGCTTTCTTGAACCGCTGCAGTCCTCCTGCTGTGGGTTGATTCACAATGTTATTAGGAGGGAATTCCAGAATTTTGACCCAGCAACACTGAAGGAACAGCGATATATTTCCAAGTCAGGATGCTGAGTGACTTGGAGGGGAACTTGCAGGGGGGTGGTGTTCCCATATATCTGCTGCCCTTGTCCTTCCAGATGGAAGTGGTCATGAGTTTGGAAGGATCGTTGGTGAATTTCTGCCGTGCATCTTGTAGATGGTACACACTGCTGCTACTGAGTGTCGGTGGTGGAGGGAGTGGGATGTTTGTGGATGTGGTCCCAATCAAGTGGGGGGGCTGGTTTGTCCTGGATGGTGTTGAGCTTCTTGAGTGTTGTTGGGGCTGCACTCAGCCAGGGGCAAGTGGGGAGTATTCCGTCACACTCCTGACTTGTGCCTTGTCGATGGTGGGACAGGCTTTGAGGAGTCAGGAGGGGAGTTACTCGCTGCAGTATTCCTAGATTCTGACCTGCTCTTATATCCACTCTGTTAATGTGGTGAGATCAGTTGAGTTCCTGTCAATGGTAACCCCCAGGATGTTGATAGCGGGGGATTCAGTGATGGTATCACAACTGAATGTCAAGGGGCAATGGTGAGATTGTCTCTTATTGGTGATGGTCATAGCCTGGCATTTGTGTGGCGCGAATGTCACTTGCCGCTTGTCGGCACAGGCCTAGATATTGTCCAGATCTTGTTGCATTTGAACATGGAATGCTTCAGTATCTGAGGAGTCACGAATGAAGCTGAACATTGTGCAATCATGGGTGAACATCCCCACTTCTGACCTTATGATGGAGGAAAGGTCATTGATGAAGCAGCTGAAGATGGTTAGGCCTAGGACACTAACCTGAGGAACTCCTGCAGAGATGCCCTGGAGCTGAGATGATTGACCTCCCACAACCATGATCATCTTCCTATGTGTCAGATATGACTCTAACCACTGGAGCGTTTGCCCCCTGATACCCATTGATTCCAGTTTTGCTCGGGCTCTTTGATGCCACACTCGGTCAAATGCAGCCTTGATGTCAAGAGCTGTCACTCTCACCGCACCTCTGGAATTCAGCTCTTTTGTCCATGTTTGAACCAAGACTGTAACGAGATGAGGAGCTGAGTGGCCTTGGCAGAACTCAAACTGGGTGTGACTGAGCAGGTTATTTCTGAGCAGGTGCTGCTTGATAGCACTGTAATGACATCTTCCATCACTTTACTGATGATCGAGAGTAGACTGGTGGGGCGGTAATTACAGATAACAACAATATGGGTAGATGAGGATGTTTTGTAATCCAAGCTGTTGTGATCTGGAACACTCGGAGTGAAAAGGGTGGTGGAAGCAAATTAAACAGTAACTTTGGAAGGCTATTGGATAAACACTTGAAAGGGAAATCTCTGCAAAGGACATGGGAAGAGAAGGAGAACAGGGCTAAATGGTTGGCGCTTTCAGAGACTGGCCACAAAATTATGGAGATTAGCAGATGGAGCACTAAAAATTTAGTTTGAATATTTTAATAATTCATAGAATCCCTGAAGCGTGGAAGCAGGCCATTCGGCCCATCGAGTCCACTCCAACACTCCAAAGAGCATTTCACGCAGACCCACACCCCTATCCTATCACCCTGCATTTCCCATGGCTAATCCACCTAGACTGCACATCTCTGGACACTACGGGGAAATTTAGCACGGATAATCCACCCTTACCTGCACATCTTTGGACTATGGCAGGAAACCAGAGAACCTGGAGGACACCCACACAGACACTGGGAGAAAGTATAAACTCTGCACAGACAGTCACCCAAAGCTGGAATCAATCCTGGGTCCCTGGCACTGTAAGGCAGCAGTGCTAACCACTGAGCCACACACGTTTGGTGTTTTGCTTGCAGTTAGTTTGATCAAAACACTGCAAGTGCAACAAACTGTTCTCACCTCCTTGTCCCCCAGCGTGTGGTTTTGTGCACAGTTCTGCATCCACGTGATTCTTCTGCCTGTATCACATGCACATTTCTGCTCAACAGCCTTGATTACTAAGTGACGGTGTAGCAGAAATGAAATACCTGGATTAGCAGACTGGGATCTCTGCTTCACCTCCTCCATCCAAAGGGGCAGCGATTTCCGCTGATGCAGCACTCCCTCAGCTCGAACTCTGGATGTGGGTAATTGAACAAGCAACCTTTCACCCCAGGGGTGAGACTGCCACTAGCTGAGCCAAGCTGACAGATAACCCAATGTGACACTCCACAACAGAGGGTGAGAAAGCACAGATGAGGGAGGTTTCACGAGTAAGTCATTTATCATTTCTTGTCGGTTTCGTACCTTGGTTGCCTCCTGCAGAGCTGGCATGGCCTCATCCAGTTCCTTTTGAGCGCCTTCTGCCATTATTTTGCATTTTATCTCTTCTGCTGAAATTTTCTCACTATGGGAGCTTACAGTCTGTATGGACAGAAATTAGGTTTATTTAATGACACCACCAGGACAGTGATCAGATTACAGTAAAATAGAAACCCTGAGGCCCACTTTCCAGTACCAGGCAGACTGTCAGCTGACACAGCAAGAGTGGAAAAGTACATTTGGGCTCAGTTTCCAGTATTGGTTAGCCTCCTGTTGCCTTGGCAATGACTGTGGCTGGAAGGCATGCATGCACTCACATGGGAAATAGAAACATATTGGTTCAGACACCTGCAAGACTATTCAGAGGAACAAGAGGAGGCCCATTAAGTTTGTTTCATCACTGAATATGATCATGATTGACGTGCATCTCCAATCCACATGCTCTAATAATCCTAACCAAAAAACAAATCTATTTTCGATTTATCTCTAACATCCACAATTCCTTCAGGACACAGTTCCAGATTTCCATACCCCTTTGTCTGAAGTAGTGATTCCTGACATCACTTCTGAATGGCCTGGCTCGAATTTTATTGTTTTACATTCTCTTTATCCACCTTGTCGAATCCATCCATTTCAAACACTTTGTTGAAATTGTCTGTCAACTTTCTAAGCTGAAAGAAACACTGGCTGTTTGTGAAAATTACTCTCATCAGTAACGTCTCTGAGGCCAAATTCTTTCTGATGAATCTGCCATGTATTCCTTCCAAGGCCAATATATCTTTGTAAGGTGCTCAGCCTAGAACTGAGTGTAGTTACTCAATAAGGGTCTTAAATAAGTCTTTATGTAACCAGGTATCACAGTCTCACTTTTCAATTCTAGTTACTTTGAATTAAAGTCCGATACTCCAGCATTCATTCACTGACTTTGGTTGACTCATATAGCTGGACACCTATGCTCCCTCTATGCGCAGTTCCTACTATCTCATCAGGAAGGAAATATTCTAATTTCTCTTTCTCTCATCTCACTTCCTCAGTAAGAGTCCATGCTGTCACATAGGAGACAGGAATATACGACTTTGGAGCAGTAGTTGGCCACTTGGACCTTTAAGCCTGCTGCATCATTCAGTAATTTAGTGGCTGATCTGGTTGTAGTCTCAATTCCAATTTCCTGTCTTGCCAATGTTCGTTTTAAGCTGTGCAGCCTATCCAGTGCCCTCACAACCTTATATGTTTTAATAAGATCATCCTCATTCTTCTAAACTTCAATGGGTACAGACCCAACCTACTCAATTTTTCTTCATAAGATAAACTCTTAATCACAGGAAGAGTTGAATGAACCTTTTCTGGTCAGAATTCACACAACATCAGGTTATAGCCCAACAGGTTTATTTGAAATCACAAGCTTTCGGATCTGAAGAAGGTACAGCACTCTGAAAGCTTGTGATTTCAAATAAACCTATTGGACTATAACCTGGTATCATGTGATTTCTGACCTTGTCCAGCCCAGTCCAACACATATCATGGCAAACGTTTTCTGAACTGCGTCTGAAGCAATTATTCTTTTTAGAAGACAAGCAGACCAAATCTGTACACAGTACACATTGGTCTCACCAATGTTCTGTATGGCTGCAGTAAAACTTCCCTTTATATTCCATTCTTTTTGCAATCAACAACAATATTCCATTTGCCTTCCTAATCACTTGCTGAATCTGCAAACCAATTTTATGCGAGTCATTTGCAGAATACTATGCAGAAGCAGCAACAATAACTTTGACTGATGTGGTGTTCCTCATACCAGACAGATAACCCAGGGAGTTTTACAGATTGAAGGACAAAGCAGACACTGAGCCGAAGGAACAGGAGGAGATGGTTTTGAAAACAGTTAAGAACAGTTCAGATTACAAATTTTTTGAAGATCTCTACTGCATCTCCCAGGAAGGGGGTTTCAGAGGGATGAAAGCATGGCTGCTTTGGCATGGTTAGGGAACAGGGGACCAAGGAGTATAAGCAGGGGCACAGAGCTGAAGGAATCAACAAGATAGGGTGGAGTGAGGCCAAGGGCTTATTTGAAGATGAGGGCAAGAATCATGAAAATGAAGCAAAGGGACATTTACAGTATGGTTAGGATCAAGGTAACAGAAGTGTGGGGTGTCTGAATAGACAAGAGGGTAAGTACAAAAAAGGATGTTTAGAGGATTTACACCCTGGAAAACAGAGGATCAGAGCAAATCCACTTTCAGCCCCAGCACTAAGTTTGGAGCTAAGTGATGACTGGGGAATAATGGGGTACACTTTCACTGTTGCAGAATCACAGGGGTGTTACTCCTGAGAATAGTGTAGAAGGGGATTCACTTCCCTCACCTTCTGCTGCTCATCAGCTTCACGTTTCTGCTGCACAATGATCACCAGGTACTCCTCGCACTGCTTCTGGAACTCAGCCACTTTCATTTTGGCTTCCTCCAGCTCGACAGACATCACCTCCACCTTATCACGGGTGTCGTCAATCTTCGACAGTCCATTCCGCAGCTTGTTGGCCTGAGTGCTCAGTTCTATGCGTTTCTCCTCCAGGAGCCTTGAAAACAAGAGAATGTCCCAACATCAGCACAGGGTGAGTGAACATGTGGCCCTGGGACATGGCAAGGTCTGTGCGCCTGACCAAAATGAGGCTGGAATTGCTGCTATCTAGATTGCTGCAATTAAAGGCATACCTATGTCAGGAAGTGGTGGGCTCAGCCTCCATTGTCACCCGGGCTACTTGCAGCTCACCTCCAGTGACACCACTGACAGTGAAGGATGCAGTAATGCCCAAACGGCTGAACGTACTGCACACAGCCACAAACCACTGCCCATCTGGACACGGAATCAGCCCAGCATTTTATTCTTTCACTCCAGGGCATACCCTGTTTGTACTCTGCAGCCCTAGAGGTTCAGCAAGGATTGTTTCATACAATGTTGCCTCTGCTAATTTGAACTTGAAGTTGATGCAGAGTGTGCACTGTCACATCTCAGAAAGACTAGAAAGGGTAGCCTGCCCTGCCGATGTAGTGGGACCCGGCACTTGAGTGGATCTGTCACTCTGTGACCCAGTGAAGCCATATGACCATAACCTGCAGTCAGAACGTACCAGCAAAGTAATTTACTGAGTGAAGTACTTTGACTGTTGGCACTGTATGAGAGCTTTTATTTAAATCAAGGTGGCAGTTTGTATACCTTGCACATGTAAGATTTCCCTCCTCCTTTAAGGGCTAATAGATTTCTTGCAGTTGTTCAATTTAAATTGGAAGGAGCTTAACACAGCAGCATTAAAGTGCAAGGATACGTGTCAGGAAATGTCCTGGCAGCAGGGGGTCAGCAATTCATGCAGCAAAAAACACTCTACATTATAGTAAGCTCCAGACAAATGGAATCCAAATGCAGGGTTCGAAAAGACCAAGACCACTCTCTCCATTCACTGCAGTTGAATGAGACTTTATGTTCGGGCATAAGATGAACCATAATTATTCTTGTAATGTTCAGCAAATGATTTCCCTCACAATAGCTGCTCACTTCAGGAGTCCATCCACTTTTTGTGCAGAGCTTTTCTTTTCTCCCCCTTGATCTTTCTTCTGATTGAACTACTGAATGATATCTCTGTGTTACGCAGGTTTGTCAATGACTGCTTTAATCTTGCAGAAAAAGAGGTCAAATTCTGAAAGCTCCTCAGAGTGAGACCCATCAATGATAGGGCATTTGACTCTTTTCTGCTTCTCCCACTCCTTAAAACGTTAACTATTCCCCAGGTCAGGTATAGAGGGTATAGATAAGGTTAATGGTAGGTGTCTTCTCCATAGGATGGGGGATTTCAAGACTAGGGGGCATATTTTTAAGGTGAGAGGACAGAGATTTAAAAAAGACATGAGGGGTAAATTTCTTACACAGAGGGTAGTTTATGTGTGGAATGAACTTCCAGAGGAAGTGGTGGATGTGGGTACAATTACATTGTTTAAAAGACATTTGGTTAAGTACATGAATAGGCAAGGTTTAGATGGATATGGTCCAGGAGTAGGCAGGTGGGACTAGTTTAGTTTGGGATTATGGTCAGCATGGACTGTTTGGACTGAAGGGTCTGTTTCCGTGCTGTATGACTCTATGTCTCAATCCAAGCCCCATTTGTACAAAACTATCTCTTATTCTGCATTAAAAGGCACCCTCCTTCTCTGGCCTATGTTAAAGAACATTGAGATAGTGAATTCCTTACCTCCAATGTACAGCAACAGAAATGATTCTGTTTGTTTGTGGAGTATTTTTCCATTTTTGCTTCAGAAACTGATTGACAGTCTTCAAGTTAGGGAGTTCCAGGATATTGATCAGTGATGATGAGGGAGCTGTGCTTGTGGCGTGGCCTGAGTCAGAGTGCAGAGTGAACTGCTCACCTCTGCATTACCAGTCCACCATTGTAACCACTACACTTTGTACATATTGTTAACAGTTGGGTAACACTGGAGTGAGCTATATTTTTCCACTGGCTGCTCTGTACCTGACCAGAGAAGGAGGGTGCCTATTACTGCAGAATAAGAGATAGTTTTGTACAAATGGGGCTTGGATTGAGACATAGAGTCATACAGCACGGAAACAGACCCTTCAGTCCAACCAGTCCATGCTGACCATAATCCCAAACTAAACTAGTCCCACCTGCCTACTCCTGGACCATATCCATCTAAACCTTGCCTATTCATGTACTTATCCAAATGTCTTTTAAACAGTGTAATTGTACCCACATACACCACTTCTTCTGGAAGTTCATTCCACACATAAACCACCCTCTGTGTAAGAAATTTGCCCCTCATGTCTTTTTTAAATCTCTGTCCTCTCACCTTAAAAATGTGCCCCCTAGTCTTGAAATCCCCCATTCTATGGAGAAGACACCTACCATTAACCTTATCTATACCCTCATGATTTTATAAACTTCTGTAAGGTCGCCTCTCAACCTCCTACGGTCCAGTGAAAAAAGTCCCAGCCTATCCAGCTTTTCCTTATAACTCAAACCTTCCATACCCAGCAACATCCTAGTAAATTTCTTCTGAACCCTCTTCAGCTTAATAATATGCATTCCCACATTTATTTCATTGTAGGATATGTAACAGGTACATATCTAGACTAGCAATCCAGAGAAACCCAGAGACAGAGGTTTAAATCTCACCAAGCAACTGGAGAATTTCCATTTAATCCATTAAATAAAATCAGGAATAAAAGCTGATATCAGTAATAATGACAATGAAACAAAAATAGAAATTCCTGGAAAAGCTCAGCAGATCTGGCAGCATCTGTGGAGAGAAATGATAGTAAGGTATAGATGATAGTATAAAGTAGGGGTAGAGGTTAGATAGACCTTAGGTTTAGGGTAAAAGTTCGGCCCAACATCATGAGCCAAAGGGCCTATACTGTGCTGTACTGTTCTATGTTCTAAATCAGAGTTAACATTTCGGGTCAAGTGACCCTTTCACAGACAATAAAAACTCATCTGATTCTCTACTTTAGGCAACAAAACTGTAATCCCTACTCAGTCTAGCCTACATGTTACTCCAAACCAACAGCAATAAGACTGACTTTTAACTTCCCTCTGTGATAACCCAGCAGACCACTCAGTTGTATTTAAGAAGGTGATTCATCACCAGCTCCAGAAGAACACTTAGAGAGAGACAGACAATAATTGATTGATTGCTAGTGATGCCCATGGCTGCAAATCGATTTTTAAAAATCACCAAATTTTTATGAGGCAGACTGGACTTATTCAATCAGTCCGGGGTATGATACTGCAGTGAATGCAGTCACCTAGTGTGGCAATCCGTCTCTGCTTGCTCAGCCATCTATCCCTTCAACTGAAAAACTCAGTGTTCAAAGTCCAGTGCATGATAGTAAGCACATGAATGCATAATGTTTGGAATAATATGTCTGCAGAAATAGCAGTAAGAAGCACCTTAGATATAAATATGTGTATGCCAGTATCATACATTGATATTTCAACATCTTCATTCAGTTGTGTGGATTTCAAAATCATCAAGGTGACTGTTAACAGTGCTGGCAAACAGAATATTTCCTATTTAAAGGTGACCGGTGGGAATAACAAAGGTACCCAGTGCTGATAAAAAAAACACAAAACTGAAAAATGAATTAATAATTAACAGATTAGGAAACTCCAGAACATTTAATAAGCCCACAGTGATTCTGTTGCAGTTAGTTCCGTGGTTAAACATCACTCATGTAGTTTACAATGTCAGCTGAGGATTGGAATGTGTTGTACCACCCACCCAACCACACACAGGTTATTAGGTAATGATCAGGATTATGCCACTTACACTTATGTACTTATTCCATAGTGGGAGGGCTTCATCCTAGTTCAATAGGATCACTGCCTCTCAGCCTGAAGCTCCAGATTAAAGCTCTGCTCCAGGACTTGAGCCACAGAAGGGCATTCGCAACAGATTGATACTCAACCCACTAGTCCTTATGACACTTTTCCAATATTCCCTAAAGTGGGAAAATAGCGCATAAAGTTGCAAACAAACAATTCTGCTGTTCAGTACCAGGTTATAATCTTCTCTTACATGTTATTTGCCAGCAATCACAGTGTTCGAAGGTTGAGTTCACAGCATTTACTGACACTTACTTTTTATAACCGGACACCAGCTCCAGATAGTTGGTTGGGGTCACATAATTGTGCCTCTTCAGTTCCAGCAACATTTTTTCAGAATATGTTGTCACTGAACGGTGCATGGTCACAAAGATGTGCGCCAGGTTACTGCGCAGCTAGAACAATGGAAAGAGCAGTTGGCAACAAGGACTAAGATAACTATATACTCTGCTGCACAAATGTTCCACTTTAGATAATCTGGCTTCTTTCTGTGATTTGCCATTACCCCATTTATTCATTTGTCCCTGGGGCTGCAACACAGTGAAAATTGCCTCTCTTAGCTTTTTGCACCTTCTATGAGCTTCAGATCACCATATCACTACTTCTTATTTGCAGACTACTTCTTCACCTATTTCAGCTACAATACTATCAGGCATCTTGCACCATCAGCCTGGGCCCTACAACTGAATCTCTTGATTTGGATCATTATTTGGTACAGTAATCTTTGCTGTTACATCCCAATTGCAATTTGCTGAATAACATTTTCATACTGAGTAAGGGCTTGGGCAGATGACAAATGTCACCTTGTAAACATGAGCCAGGAAATGCACTAAAGTCTTGGCCTCAAACCTAACAACTGGCCCTGACATATCTGTCATGTCTCTTTCTATTTTAAGGCTTGTTTTAGAGATCTGCACCAAACACGCACTATAGAAACAGGTCATTTGGCCTACCTGCTCCGTGCTGTAGTCTCTACTCCAAAAGCATCATCCCATAACCCACTTCATCTCACCTTCTCAGCCTATCTTTTTACTCCTTTCTTCCTCATGTATTTATCCAGCTCCCCCCTTAAATGTATGCATATTATTTGCCTCAAACACTCTTTATATAAGAAAACTCCTTATTCTCATCTAGGGAAAGGAGTTTCTTCTGAGTTTTCAGATGGATTTTTGTTTTTAATTCATTTGTGGTTTTAGTAGTGACAGCCTGGATCTTGGATCCCACACACTCACCCTGCCCCACCAACCAATGGAAAATCTACAGGATATCTGCATTATTAAAATACCTACAGAATTTGACCTTTATGTTCATCACCCCTCAGCCCTCTCTTTTCTAGAGAAGGGAATCCATCCTTTCCAATCTTTTTTTCAATCTTCGCTGATCTTTGTAACACCTTAGTTAATACAGAAAGCATCCAGGATAGTGTAAAAATGAAAGCCCATGTATAACCTTCAAGTTAGCTCACCTGAAATCTGAGCTGATAGAAGAGTAAAACAGAACCACACAGGTCTGCAAAGTTTCTGGTTCAATTGCTAGCCAATGCTAAGATGGTTGCTCTCGGCCTGAGCAGTGGCCCAGGTCCACAATTAGTTGCAGAAACTTTTCACTAGGGAAGGGGGAAAAGATGAAGCAAAGTGCCCCACCCATAGATACTTCGCAGTATCTGCAGCCAGGTGGTGTATTCGGAGGAAGGATAGGGTGAGGTAAATTGTCGAGCTCTATAGCTGTCTCAGACTGGATATGCCAGCAGTATAGTTCATCATTATTTAAATTAACTGGGGTGCTGAGGGCGAATGGTAAGGCCCAAGTGGTCACAGCTCATTCTGATCTGAATAATTCCATACCTCCTCTGATCCTCCAAGTTCCACGTTCATCAGGTATCGCTCGGCCACTTCAAGCAGAGCGTCCCTTGGCCATTCAGAAAACCAGTCGATGGTGGTGCAATTCACTAGAGCTGGGTACTGGCGTACACGATTCCTTTAAAACAGTTAAAGAGAAGACAAAACATCCTCAGGCGAAGCACACCACTCTTTTAAAGTCCTGTAGCTGATGATACCCATTTGACCTAAAGTAGCTCAAGTATCAAGACAAGATCAGTCTTCACCTTTACCTTGCAGCAGCTATCTGTGCTGACATAAGGTTCAAAGGGATCTACTTAAATTGCTTTGAGCCTGCTTCATCTACTGATCATGCTGTGGCTGGGATTGTGAAATGGTTGATATCAATTAAGAATGGTGAAATTGGGAGAGATTGATTTGTGGTGAATGAGTCAATGTCACCCATTAAACACCATCAGTCAAAGCCATAAAAATCTCCCTTTGTGTGGAGGATTAATTGACAGATTGTGTGGAGATATGCAGCCTTTTGTATCTCCCTGGCTAGATTTCTGGTTCTGCCAACTTGGGCAGACACAGCCAGAGAATGAGGAACACCACAGGAAATGAAAATATACTGAAGCTCCCACTATTGCTACTTGGTCTCTCTTGGATTGAGATATTGGTTAAAATTTGGGTGAACTATTCTAGCTCTGTGCCAGCAACTGGGTGTGTGACCTGAGCTCATGTTGATCCACACACAAATGAAAATGCATAGCTCCAGTGCTCAACATCACTCCATCGGTGTGTGCATGTCAAGATTTAGACAGGTTGCAAATGTTTCAAGGACTAGTAAACCTGCCTAGCATCAACTGGGAGAAACATGAGGGGGCAACTGTGGGCATCTATAATCCAAATTGGATAAACTCAACCATATGAAGTAATGAGAAGACCTCCAGGGTGCAGTAAAGTAGAAGACATTAAACCATAAAAGTAGAGAACTAAAAGGAGGAAGCCACATGTACAATAACAATGTCATGAGTTTCTTGATTTTAAACAAGTCAAAGGAATGCAATTCATTGGGCTCTCCTCATTAGCACTCTGGAACTAAAAGCATTGACACATGGTTGATGCTGAATAAAGGACTTCAGTGCAAAAATAACATATGCATCTTTGATCGCCTATGAATTGATTCCAGTGATTACACATTCTCCATAACAAAATTTACCTGAAGGGATCTCCAATAGGACTCATGCACAACACGACATGAAGATTACTACGCACTCTTTCCATGAGAAAATTGAAGATTCTTTCATTGGTTTCAGGTATGGACTCTTCCTTGGCTGCATCTAACAATGCATTTTTAATCTAGGAATAGAGAAAGCGATCAATAACAGCACCAGGCTATGGTCTGCTTCTTTGTCTCACTGTGAGAACAGGCTCCATCCAAAGAAATAAAGTGGTCTCATAAACAAAGACTAGGAAAAGCTACACCAAACCACCACGCTAACTGGTGGGATTCCCATTCCTCTTGACAATATTTTCAGTGAGGCCTCAGATGCAAGTTTTTTTTTAATTTTGCCCATACGATGAAATTGTTAAAACACTCTGAATAAGCACTAGATTCCCAACTTTGTTAAAAGTTACCAACATAAAGGATTTCATTCAGCTAATGACTTGAAAATGTAAGGCAAGCAGAAATCATTAGCTTGCCTTCTCTGTGTTTACGCGCACACACTGTCAGAGGGTCAGTGCCGAGGGAGCGCCGCACTGTTGGAGGGTCAGTGCTGAGGGAGCACCATACTGTGGGAGCATTCTTACTGAGGGAGTGTCCACTGACAAAGGGTTATTTACTGGGGAAATGTCACATTGTTGGAGGGTTAGTACTGAGGAAGTGCCCACTGTCTGCAGGTTAGTAGTGAGGGACTGCTGCAAATCAGAAGGGGGTGATCTGTCAGATGAAATGTTAAAACAAGGTTCCATCTTGGTAGGTCTTAAATTTTCCCGTGGCCATTACTTTGAAAAAGACCAGTGTTATAGGCAAATAACTATCGCCCAAATAAAACCACTAATATCATTTGTCTACATTGTAACAGTGGCCATGATTTTTTAAAAAAAAACTTAACTGGTTGGAAAGTATTTTGGACATCATAAAGTTGTGTAGAGAGCTATAGAAATACAAGTCTTTCTTCCTTATTCTTCTCTGTCTCAATCAATGTCCTGATGATCATCCTCAGCATGTTTTCCAATAAAGACATGTTTTACTTACAGTGTTTCTCAATGGCTTAATGCATTGTCGCACTTTTACCAATTCCTGACATGGTTGAGATTTTAGCGGGTGATGTAGTGAAACCTTATGGGCTGGCTACTGATGAAGGTACATAGGGCAAATGAAAATCTCACCCTCAATTGCACGTCACCCTATTCCACTAACTGGGTAAACTTTCTCAATGACAGATGAACTGCTGCATTCATCAATGGTTAACTTGCTTTTGCTACATTACAACAATGTATACCCTTCCAAAGTACTCCATTGGTTTTGGAATGTTCTGAGGCAGTGAACATCATCTTAAAAAATGAGATGTAGTTCTTTCATTCAGCCTGTGGGAGATTGACAAAAGATTCTGAATGGAACAATGGATTCCAACAAAGAATGTTTTAGACATTAGGTTTATAGACACATTGACAATTTTTCAATAATACAGAGAGTGTTTTGGTGTGCACTGAGTGGCAGTGTAACAATAGTCAAGGCTGAATCTGATTACAGAGAGCATAAGACAAGAAGATTTGAAGGGGAGGTGATGGCCTAGTGGTATTATCGCTGGACTGTTAATCCAGAGACCCAGATAATGTTCTGGGGACCCGGGTTCAAATCCTGCCATGGCAGATGGTGGAATGTGAATTCAGTAACGATTCAATCAATTGTTGGAAAAACCCATCTGGTTCACTAATGTCCGTTAGGGAAGGAAACTACCATCCTTACCTGGCCTAGCCTACATGTGACTTCAGACCCACAGCAACATGGTTGACTCTTAACTGCCTTCTGGGCAATTAGGGTTGAGCAATAAATGCTGGCCTGGCCAGTGACTCCCACATCCCGTGAATGCATTAAAAAAAATTTAAAACAACTGAGCTCAATCACTCACTTCTTCAAACTCGTCTACTTTGAACAGGTTCGGAACTTCGCCGGAACTCAGAATATTATTAATATCTTCCAAAAAGGATTCTTCAACCAACTGGGTGTCCGTAAACAGGAACATTGTTGGGTTATTTACAACTCCAGCTTCACGGTAGATTTTCTTTAAGTCTATAAAAGTACAGATGAGTTCAGTTGACAGAAATGTTTTTTTAAATACACTCAGTCTCCAATTCCTCTCCTCAAGTTATGAAGTGCTAGGCACCATCTGCCCATGAGACCAATCTCTAGTGTGCGCTAGACCACAGAGATAACCACTGTCACCCACTCAGCTGGAGAACTTCCCACTTTGGCTCCTTGTCCTGCCCCCCTGAACCATTCCACATGGTGGATAATGGGGCCTCAAATGTTTGTTAGAGAAATCTGGAATCTATCTTGTTTAAGCTTGGGCGAGTGAGACAAAATTTTAAAATTACTTTTAACTTTGAGCGGTGCTTTAGTTCTGCGAAGACCTTACAATAGGATGGCTGTACAGAGATCTACTTTTAATATGAGAAGGATACAGTGAGTCAGGTTCTTAAAGTGAAGAGTTAATGTCAGTTCCAGACCAGGTTAAAAACCCAGAAGTGATTATTTAAGCAGAGTACAGTGAAGCTCAAACATATGATAGCTCCAGGAAGAAGTGAATTCAGTTTCAGTTTAAAAAGTGAGGTCTGAAGTGATGTAAACCTACCAAGGTATCAGGTATAGGGCTACTGGTCTGAGTATTTTATGAGTGGCATTTTGAGTACTGTGCCAGGAGAGGCATTTTGAGTATAGGATCAGGAGGGGTATTTTGGCTGTTTTGTTTCTTTACAATTTAATTAAGGAGTGTTTTGGGATAATACTTTTACTGTGTGCTTTAGATCTTTAAATTTGTATTTTGAGCAGATTGTTTGGATTGTTCTATTTCATCTACATTCCTTTTGTAATGAAATTCCATTTCATTGTTAAAGCCAATCTGCAGTTTGCGTGCCTATAGTTCAGCGAGAGGCCAATTCCTTAAAACCAAAATAAATCAAATTACCAACTCACTTCCTGTCTGAGATCTGATTGTCTGAGGATACCATCAGTTGGGGTCATAACACTGCCTTTGGTCAGAAGACCTGGGCACAAGTCCCATCTGCAACGTGGTTATGTCCAGGTTTTGATTAAAAATATCTACAAATTCATTTTGTTGTTTGTACCCAATCCCGTCTTAACCCACACACTATGGTCATCACTAAACAGTAATCAAGAGCCAAAGTCTACAGTCTAAAAACAGCCTGGTCAACATTACCATCTCTTAGCTGGCATTGACTAACACAGTGCATGTTAAGATTGGTCTGCATCAAATTGTTTGTACGTTCAGCCACAAAGTTCATTTTGAATGACAGGGAGGTTCTAGGTCAAGCATTTTCATTGAGAAATGAGATGAATTAAGATTCTTTGTCTGAGGGCGGGAAGGAGATTAATGCATTAAAACACCTAGACCTACCTTCTCTGAACTCTAGCTTGCGGTAGACCTTAGTAACTTCGATTTTGTAGGTATTGTAGTCAGAGATGAAGGCAGATAGCTGAGAAAGGCTCTGCCGTCCACTTCCCCCGATCCCAACCAACAGCATGTTGCCACGTGGCTGACTGATCACACGGATAATCCGTGTCACTGAAATAAGGATGGAAAGAAGAGAACACAAATTCAAGCAGACTGGCTGAGGTTCAACAGAGATGTAACAGCCCACTCTGTTAGGGTACAGTGTGGGACTACAGCTGCAGAGAATATTCCAGTACAGTTTCCTCAATGATTAATACAATTAAAACAAGACGCTTTCCCTCCTGCACTCAAATCCTCTTGCATTACTGTTTGCCTTCCCAAGTATTTGCTGCAGCTGCATGCTAGTGATTTATGAACAAGGAATTCTAGGTCCCTTTAGTCATCAACATTTTCCAATCTCTTACCATTCAAGAAATACTCTAAAACCTTCGTTCCTTCTGCCAAAGTGGATAACTGGACACCCATTAGTTTCTATTTACCATGCTCTTGCCCAACCACTCAGCCTGACTAAATTCCCTTGAAGCCTCTACATTCTGCATAATTCACATTCTCACTGGGTTTTGGAAATATTCCAATTGCTTCCAAACATCCCAATCATTGATAAAGATTGTGAATGAAATAACTCCAGTGAGGCCGGTATCCCATCACCAAGTCACCCTTTATTTACACGTGGAATGTAATTGACACTGAGCCAGCTTCCTCAGAGCCAGCTCCCAGAGTGAAATAGATCTCTGATACTCTTGTCAGCCAGGGCTCCTTGGTTGGCCCAGATTAACAGCCCCAATCAGGGAATTCATATTCTATGAGGGCCACCCTAGCTGACCTCGTTACAATCACTACAGGGAACAGGCTCAAGTACTGATCCCTGTGGCACCTGAATGGCCACAGCCTGCCAATGCATGAATCATCCATTTATTCTTACTCTCTACTTTCAATCCATGCTAGTGCATTATCCTCAGTCCCATGTATTTTAATTGCTTATTAAATTGCTTATTAAATTGATCATTTGCCTTCTGAAAATCTAAATACACCACATCCACCAGTTTCCATTTATCGATTATACTAGTGAAATGTTCAAAAAACCCTCAGGTTTGTCAAACATGATTTCTCCTTCATAAATCCTCATTGTCTGTGTCCAATCAGACAATTATTTTCTAAATATCCAATGATCACATCCTTTATCAATAGATTCTAGTCAGGTTAACAGATATGTACTCCCCTGCATTTTCTCTCCCTCCTTTCTTAACAGTAGGACTGGCTTTGTAGCTTTCCAATCTGCATGTACTGTTGTAGAACTGATAAAATTTTGAAAGATGATCACCAATGCATCCACCATCTCTGCAGCTATCTCTTTCAACACTGTAACCCATTACAGGGATTTATCAACTTTTAGTCTGATTAAATTCTCCAGTGCCATCTTTCTTTTTTAACTAATACTAATTTCTTTCAGTTTCAAACTCTCACTGGATCCTTGATTTTTAATTACTTCAGGGAGACCTTTTATGGCTTCGTGTGTGAAGATGAACACAAAGTACTTGTTTAGTTCTCTGCCATTTCTCTTGGCCCTGGTGAAAATGCACCCAGATTCCCTTGGCTAATCTTTTCTTTTTTAAATACCTATAGAAGCTTTTACAACCTATTTTTATGTTTTCTGCTATTTTATAATCATATTCTATTCTCTCTTTCTTCATTAAATTCTTGGCAATCCTTTGTGAAATTCTAAAATTCTCCCAATCCTCAGGCTTATGAAAACTTTTGGCAACTTTATATTCTTCCTCCTTTGGTCTAATACTATCTTTAATTTCTAAAGAGAGAGATTAGCATGGCGATAATGTCACTAAACTGGTAATCCAGGAAATAATCCAGATTAACACTCCAGTATTATGGGTTCAAATCCTACCACACCATGGCAGACAGTGAAATTTGATTTCAATGTAAATAATAAAAATATTCAATAAAGAGCCAGCCTAATGGCAACTATTGCTTATTGTCATAAAACACCATCCAGTCTTTTGGGAGGGGAAATCTGTTGTTCCTACCCAGTCTAGTTTACATGTGACTCCAAATCGACACCAATGGGGTTGACTCAGCTGCCACTGGGTGATCTGGCAGTAAATGCTACAGAAAACTAACCTGAAGACTGGATCCTCAGACAAAATTTTAGCCATTTGGCCCAGGATCCTAATAACCTCCTCATACAGTATACAAAGCGGTACAGGGTGCTGGAGTCATTTTACAATGTTTACCATGTTCAATAGCATCTTTGAACAGGACGAGGCTCATCGGCACCACCCCAGGGGTGGAGTTATACTCATCCAGCTGGTGCTCCATGTACATTTTAAGGGCCTTGAAGTTTGTTAGGTCTTCATATACATCTCCTCGTATGAAGTCGCCTGGCGAAAAGAAAAAAAGAGATGCGAACACTCCAGGTTAAACCAGGCCTCCCTTGCAGATGATCCTTGTCCTGACATTGGTCCAATGTTGATCTTTGAGCACATCCATCATAATCCCAAGTAATGCACTTTAAAGCAGTGCATTTTGTTACCCTTTTGAAGTGAAAGTTGTCGGTTAGCTGTCGGCTGGGTGGTTGGTTTGCAATGCAGAGTGAAAACAACAGCATGGGTTCAACTCCTGCACTGGCTAAGGCTGCCATGAGGAATTCTCTTTCTCAACCTCTCCTCTCACCTGAGGCTGGTGACGTTCAGGTTAAACCACCACGAGTCCGTTCTCTCTAATAACAGCCATAACGTGGAGATGCCGCTGTTGGACTGGGGTGGGACAAGTCACACGACACCAAGTTATAGTCCAACAGGTTTATTTAAAATCACAAGCTTCCAGAGTCCTGCTCAAGTGTCACTTCACTGGACAAAGCAGCAGCACTCCGAAAGCTTGTGATTTTAAATAAACCTGTTGGACTATAACCTGGTGTCGTGTGACTTTGGACTCTAATAACAGAGCAGCCCTATGGTCTGGTAAGACTATGATGACTACTTTCCCTTGCAAAGTATGCATTATATTTGCTGTTTATAGGTCAAATAACATATACCACAAGCCAGCAGCCAATTTCACAATAGCAAGAAAGGTAGCTATCCCGAGTTTAATAACCTGACCTCTTCCCAAGAGGATGTTCCTATTAGATTGTGTTTCCTTTGGGATTAGTAACTCTAAAAGGCAGAGACCAAATTCAACATAGATCTCAAAGAAAACACCTGTACATCACCAAGGATGATGTGCATCACTATCTGAGCTTTCACATCATCACCAGGGGGAAAAATGGCACAATATCCCTGAGACAGAGAAAGCTCTCTTTATTCATGTATGAGTTTATTTTTAAATATTATACATCCATCCTTACCAAAGATGGGTGACTGCTTAGTTGGGCAGAGGCTGTGGAAGGTTACATCTAAGAAAGTGCCTAATTTCTCATTCAGCAACGTCACAAACAGTTCCATGTCCTTATGTTCCACAAACCGATCAGAAAATACCCTGCATCAACGAGACAGGAGAGGTTGGCTTGGTAATCAATTAAGTTGGGAATACAGTACTATAGTGATTGTGTCACACAGATGCTGGTCTAAAGATTAATGATCCAGAGACACAAGTTCTAAACTGGGGAATTCAAAATTCTATCAATTAAATGCAAGTGGAATAAAAAGATAGGCATGAATAATGGTAACCCCGAAACCACTAGATTGTCAAAAAATGTATTTGGCTTGTTAGTGGTGTTTATGAACTCTTCTCCTTATTTGGTCTACCCTATGATTCCAGAAAACAATGCATTTGACGCTTAACTATCTCTCTGGATTTGCCAACAAGACACTAAAGGATGTGTACTCAAGGCAGCAGCTTGCCGTCATCTTCCCAATAGCAATTAGGGAGGGGAAATAAATGCATTCGTGCCAGTGATGCTTCCATTACAAAACTGATTTAAAATAAAAAGGCTTTCAAAGAGGGAGACAAGTTCAATTCTGGTATCCCTGCTATAGGAAGGATGTTGTGAAACTTGAAAGGGTTCAGAAAAGATTTACAAGGATGTTGCTGGGGCTGAAGGGTTTGAGCTATGGGGAGAGGCTGAATAGGCTGGAGCTATTTTACCTGGAGCATCGGAGGCTGAGGGGTTATCTTATAGAGGTTTATAAAATCATGAGGGGCATGGATATGGTGAACAGTCAAGGTCTTTTCCCCAGGGTAGGGGGATCCAAATCTAGACAGCATAGGTTTAAGGTGAGAGGGGACCTAAGGGGCAACTTTTTCATGCAGAGGGTGGTGCATGTATGGAATGAATTGCCAGAGGTGGTAGTGGAGGCCGGTACAACTACAACATTTAAAAGTCAATGGAGGGGTACATGAATAGGAAGGATTTAGAGGGATATGGACCAAGTGTTGGCAAATGGGAGATTAATTTAGCATAGTAGGAACTGCAGATGCTGGAGAATCTGAGATTACAAGGTGTAGAGCTGGATG